TCTTTATATTGTGACATTTCATAACTAGACTTATTAAGGTGATAATTTTGAAATATATAGAAATACCTTTCTAGGCTAATGGAGATCAGCTTGTCTGGCGTGAATCAGATTTGACAGTCCTTCCTACCACTTGGAATGTGATTTTATTAACTGAACTACAAAACCTGTTTCCATATATTTGTTCTTGGAATGATAACATAATATTACTATAAGTACTATAGTTTATATATTCATTTATTCCACAAATGGCTATCTCATCACATTGTATTGCAATAATCTGTTGTCCCTTCTGGTTAGTAGACTCTGCATTTCTCAAAAGTAGACACTCTGCCTTCGTACACTAGTAGTCAGCCTAGTGCCTAGAGCACACATGCTTTTATCTGTAATATACATTCAAGGAAGAAAGGAACAAGCAAATTTCTGTCTCCCACTGTCAGTGTGACTTGCCTCTTAAACTAGGCTTCAGTGCCCTTACCAGTAAAATTAAGGAACAAAATAGAACATTCTTTTCAGCTGTAAAATTCTTTGTTCCATACTCTAGTCTAGCACAAGGCATTGGGCCAGATCTTCTAAATTATGATTATTGGCTGGAAGGGATGCTAAGGGAATTCACATTCAACTAGATTATAAGGTAGACTTAACAAGCACTATATTTGGTGTACACACTAAGTGTTGGGAAGAGAGATTACAGCTGACTTTTTGAGATGACCAGGAAGAACATTATGGAAAAGGTAGTACTTCAGGGGAATAGGGAGGCAGTGTTAGGAGAGCACCTTGAAGGTTGGATAATATTTTTAATAAGCTGAAATGGAAGGAGAGATGATAGAATATACCAGACAGGAAGAGTGGGTGAAGTTAAAAGGTGGAAAAATTCAAGGTGAGTTGGGGCAATGGCAAGTCCTCCTGGTGGGACAGAGAAGAATGGAAGAGCAGGAGTGAGGTGTGAGTGACCCCGGAAGAACAAAGAGTCCACAGGCTCAGTGGAGATGCCGAGCAGGTTCAGCAGCTGTGAAACAGCAGGAGGCATTAAAGGGAAGGAGGCAGGTGAACGACAGACACCAAGTCCAAGATCTTGGAGGTGGAGCAGCTCTGAAAAAAGGCAGGTCAAAGGTACTTCTGTGTAAGTGGTGAATGAGATGGAGCAAAGGTGAAGGTAATAGGAGTCGGGAAGTCAATGTGTGCAGCTTAGAGTTGCCTTATCAAGGAGGCAATAAACATGGTGGTCAGCACTTCAGACTTGGAAACTGACTTCTTGAGTTACAGTCTTGATTCTGTTACCTGCTTTGTGACCTTGGGCGAGTCTGTCTCAGATTTTCATCTGTGAAGTGAATGTACTAATAGCACCTACCTCAGGGCTGTGTCGGATTGGTAAGGCCCTTCTGGAAGAGTGAGTGGCATGTGGTGAGTGAACAATAGATGTTAACTGTATCAACTGTATGAAATAAACAGGAGAGTCATGTGACCTACAGCCAGGCACTTGGGGAACCTGTAAGAAGTTGGGAGGAGAGTCAATTCCAGTTCCCATTCCAGTTTTAGATTCTCTCTTAAACCTTAATGCATCATAGACTATTATGTAACCCACACTAAAGAATAAAAATAAAACTCACCCCAGTGCAATAAAAAATGAAAAATATTAATACAAGCCATACGGTTGTTCATTAGTAATATCTTTAATTCACAGGGATAAGCAACTTGAAAAACTCAAGAATTTCCTGATGCTGCATCTTGGACACAGAAGTTTACACCAAAGAGACTATGTCTTATTGACATCAGCAACGGATAATCACATGTTTCATTTGGGAGATATTCACTTATCTTATCACTACATAGCCAGATGATTAATATGGTACTCATTCCACCCATAATTCTCTGTACAAGAACCAGTGAACACAACAGGGACAAATTCTCCATGGAAAGCAAAGACAATGGGAGGAGAGAAAAACCCAAGCACAGAAGAAATGGAACAGGAGGAGAAAAGGTTTCCTAGAAGACAATGAGGAAAAAGGAAAGGGGTAGGAAAGCAAAAAGGTCAGGTTAGAAGAAGAGAATAAAGAAAAGAAATAGATAGGTGAGAGGCCATAAGAGGAAAATAGGAAGGAGAAAAAATTAAGATGAATTTAAAAAGAAGAATGTACAAATTGATATTTTGTTCCTTAATAGATTGATTCCCCAGATAGGGTCCCTGAATATCATTGAGGAAGATGTGTTCATGAGCTGTTTTCAATTTTTCAGAAAGTTTTGTTGAAATCATATATTTACCCAAACAAGGCTTCTGTGGCTATCCTAAAAGGTGAAATTCCATTGGGCTGAAATTTTCATTGGGGCTGAAATTGTTTTGATTCAGTGACAAAATTTGGTATTTAATGCAGATTATAAATCCTAACAAATAGAAATGTCTTTGATTAATTAAAAAATATGAACACTAGCTAGTAATGAGTTTTGTAGACAAAAATCTTTCAAAATCCATATAATAATCAACAGTAGAGACCTGTGTCTTGAAAAAGTTTGGAAATCCTCTTCTGAACATTTAAAAACACTGTTGCAATTGTTAAAATATGCTGCTAATTTATCTGTTTCTGCTGGTGTCTGTTGTTTTTGAAGCTATTCCCGTGATTGGGACACATATGCATAAATTCATCTGTAGGAAAATGTGATGGTTAACTATGTTTCTGTCTTACATGTTGATTTTTCCAATACACACACGCACACACACACACACACACACACTCACAGAGACTCTCATTGATTTAAATATCAAAATCGATCTTCTGATTATGTACACTCCCTCTTTAATTCTGAAGATCCAAGAATCTAATGGTGGAATTTATCTCCTTAAATTTTCTAAGTTCACACTCAGTAATAGAAATGTTGATTATCTGCTTCTTACTAAGATGAACACTAATGATGTTTGATTGTTCACTCTACATATTATTCATAATAAAAATGCTTGGAATTCAGGGATTATATTTTGTGATTTACATACTATGTAGTAGTAAGTTATTCAGTGATCACTAAAAATAAATGTAATGTGGATCCATAGAATATATGTTAAAATGTATATGATGAGCAAATAAAAGATTATTTTAAAATATGGATTTGTTTTCTCGCCACCAAACCTGTCTTTATTCTCCTGCCTTCTCGTCATCTCCTTCTGATATTCTGACTCCAGCAATTCTTTGATTTTACCGACACCTTCAGTCTGTTGACCCTACATTTCCTCATTTGTGTCCACATCATCCCCCTTTCTTTTTCTACCCTACATCATCCCTCTTTCCTTCTCTCATATCTCATTTCTATGAATTAAGTCCCAAATTATGAAATCATCCTTTATACCTTGCTAACATCCACTGCATCAGCAAATCCTGTCACCTCCACCTTCCAAATATACACAGAGTCTAATGGCTTTCCACCACCACCACTGCTATCAAGATCAGGAGAAAAAGGAAACCCACAGAGATGTAGTCTTGGCATTAGGGGTGGATTTTCCCAATGTCATGAATAGGCATCTGTCAATTCCAAAAAAGGCCAACGAGTTGAATGACTTGAAATTGACTTAGAGCCGCTCAAGGGGGTGCTGGGAAAGCCCTTCATGAGGAGGTGACTTGCAGGCTGCACAGTTCAATTGCAAAGCCATTTTAGAGGGTGCCAGGGAAGCTGCTAGCTGCTGGACTCTGATGCTCATCTCAGACTTGAGGAGCCCAGTTCTGGAGAAACTGAGGAGAGCCACAACAGAAACCACTTCCTTCTCTAGTGCCCTTCTAGTCCCCTATACAGGCAAAGCCTAACTTTATACTAGCTAGCAAAGGAGAAATGTTTTTGCAACAACAACAGCCTCAAAATGCATAATCAAAGAATGACATAACTAAAAGAAGAAATACAAAAATTCAGAGCAATGATACTTGAGAACGCATCTCAGTAAATGATAAACCAAGCAGGCAAAAAATTTTCAAGGCTAT